AAGTTCAGTACGTTCAATGCGTTCAGTGCGTTCAGTATGTTCAGTGCATTCAATAAGTTCAGTACGTTCAGTGCGTTCAATAAGTTCAGTACGTTCAGTGCGTTCAATAAGTTCAGTACGTTCAGTGCGTTCAATAAGTTCAATAAGTTTAATAAGTTCAATAAGTTCAATAAGTTCAATAAGTTTAATAAGTTCAATAAGTTTAATAAGTTCAATAAGTTTAATAAGTTTAATAAGTTCAATAAGTTCAGTGCGTTCAATAAGTTCAGTGCGTTCAATAAGTTCAATAAGTTCAAAATAAGTTCAATAAGTTCAATAAATTTAATAAGTTCAATAAGTTCAATAAGTTAAATAAGTTCAGTAAGTTCAGTAAGTTCAATAAGTTTAATAAGTTTAATAAGTTCAGTGCGTTCAATAAGTTTAATAAGTTTAATAAGTTCAATAAGTTCAATAAGTTTAAAAAGTTTAATAGGTTTAATAAGTTCAGTAAGTTCAATAAGTTCAGTAAGTTCAATAAGTTCAATAAGTTTAATAAGTTCAATAAGTTCAGTGCGTTCAATACGTTTAATAGGTTCAATAAGTTCAATAAGTTTAATAAGTTCAATAAGTTCAATAAAATTAATAAGTTCAGTAAGTTCAGTAAGTTCAGTAAGTTCAATAAGTTCAATAAGTTTAATAAGTTTAAAAGTTTAAAAGTTTAAAAGTTTAAAAGTTTAAAAGTTTAAAAGTTTAAAAGTTTAATAAGTTCAGTAAGTTCAGTAAGTTCAGTAAGTTCAGTAAGTTCAGTAAGTTCAGTAAGTTCAGTAAGTTCAGTAAGTTTAATAAGTTTAATAAGTTTAATAAGTTTAATAAGTTTAATAAGTTTAATAAGTTCAATAAGTTCAATAAGTTCAATAAGTTCAATAAGTTTAATAAGTTTAATAAGTTCAGTAAGTTCAGTAAGTTCAATAAGTTTAATAAGTTCAATAAGTTTAATAAGTTTAATAAGTTCAATAAGTTCAATAAGTTCAATAAGTTCAATAAGTTCAATAAGTTTAATAAGTTTAATAAGTTTAATAAGTTTAATAAGTTCAATAAGTTCAATAAGTTCAATAAGTTCAGTAAGTTCAATAAGTTCAATAAGTTCAATAAGTTTAATAAGTTTATTAAGTTCAAGAAGTTTAATAAGTTTAATAAGTTCAATAAGTTTAATAATGTAGTGGACTAGTAGGCCTGATGTCAAAACTGACCAGATGGACAGAAACTGTCATTTCATTGATTTGAATCCAGAAATACAGTTTGACCCATCCTGAGACTTTCTTTCTTGAATTAATCAAGTGGAATATGTAGATGAACAGATGCTGAGATATATTCATCAATTAAAACGGATTCTTCATTTTTCTGGACTGTATGATGTCGTGCTTTGAATTTAACAGAAATGTAACGTGAGACGTTATTTATCTTTGACCCATCAAAATGAATGGAGGTCATTTATTTACAGAATCAAAGTTTAACATCAAACATTTACATTAATTTGGCAGAATATGAAAATAACAACATAATTAATCAGCTTTACAACCAGGAAAACCATACGGCCATGATTTTCCGTTACTTCACCACAGACATTTCTGAAAACATCTGGATTAATTTTCTAGCAAATAAGAGAGTTTAAAGATGGAAAATGAAGTTTTATCTTACAGAGAGATGTGTGAGGGAATTTGTCTGTTTTAACCAGAACAGCACGCTCTTTTGGAAATCAGCTTGTCCCAACAGTACACTTTTGGTGAAGGTCGACTTTTACCTTTTCTGAAGATAGATCAGTTCCGGCGTGGAGTCTCACTTCCAACCACTGTTCAGCGTCTCCGTGAGAACAGCTAAATACCTCGAGAGCCGTGTGAGGTTATCCAAACAGAAGTTATAATTCCCAAAATCGTCTCTGGTTCAGCTTGGTTCTAATTCAGCAGCATCCATGAATGCCTGCGGTTGCATCCTGGAACTCCCAAACTCTCTGCTTGAACTGCTACTCCATCAACTCTGAACTCCTACGTTGAACTGGGAAGTGCCACATTTAAATGGGCTCTACTTCCGGTTCATTTGAGAGCCTTTGATTGGTCGATGGACCCCAACAGAGGTGTGTTTTGTGATGTAAGGTGTTATGGAAAGTCAAGGATTGTTTAAGAACAGACAGAAAGATATCATGGAAAAACCAGACTTCGTGGCGTCGCTCCACCAAGTATCTCGCTGTAAAAGTTAAACATGACATTTCTTTTCAGTAAACTTTTAGTTGACCGAAACCTGAACTTTAACACACTTACAAACTCTGCTCACTTCAAGCAGACGATCAAGAAATTGAATCATTACTCTGTAACGTATTCTAACTTGATTTCACTTTGAATTGAGGAATAAAAATCATTACTACTGTTAAAGTTAATAAAAATGAGTAGTTCACTTCAACATGTAAACATTGTTTGAACTAACACAATTTGATTATCAAAACATTTGTAAAATAGTAATGATCATAGAGAATTGTCTTTTTCCACTTGATTAATTCAAGAAAGAAAGTCTCAGGATGGGTCAAACTGTATTTCTGGATTCAAATCAATGAAATGACAGTTTCTGTCCATCTGGTCAGTTTTGACATCAGGCCTAGTCCACTACAGTAAGTTTAATAAGTTCAATAAGTTTAATAAGTTCAATAAGTTTAATAAGTTCAATAAGTTTAATAAGTTTAATAAGTTTAATAAGTTTAATAAGTTCAATAAGTTCAGTAAGTTCAATACGTTCAATAAGTTTAATAAGTTCAATGCGTTCAATACGTTCAATAAGTTCAATAAGTTTAATAAGTTCAATAAGTTCAGTAAGTTCAATAAGTTCAATAAGTTTAATAAGTTCAATAAGTTTAATAAGTTTAATAAGTTTAATAAGTTTAATAAGTTCAATAAGTTCAGTAAGTTCAATACGTTCAATAAGTTTAATAAGTTCAATGCGTTCAATACGTTTAATAAGTTTAATAAGTTCAATAAGTTCAATAAGTTCAATAAGTTTAATGAGTTCAATAAGTCAAAGTCTTCCTGTTGAACATTGTTGACTCCACCCCAGAAGCCAAAGTTGGTGTGAAGCAGCTGAGAGCAGCTGCTCCAAAGGGTCTGAGTACAGATGTGAGCACCATGTTCACACCAACACAAACGAACCAGTGGGGAACGGTGACACAGTTTCATGTGAACAAACTTGAAACTTGTGCAGTACCTGATTGTTGAGGATGGCCTCCACAGCTTTGCCATCCCTCAGGAACTGCTGGAAACCCAGACCCTGGTCGAGCAAGTTCTTGCGACTGTCCCACATCTTCTGGAGCTCATACCAGCCGCGATCCAAACCTTTCAGCCTCTCCTCGAGCTGCTGGTACTGAGGATCATCCTCCAGACCCTGCGTGACCTGAGCTCCAGTGTCCCTGACACGGTGGTAGTCCTCTTCATGGTTGTTTATGTCTTCACGCACGTTGTGGTGAAGACTCAGCAGCTCCTCTGTTTCTTGCAGAGAGGTGGGCATTTCCTCAGAAGCCACAGCCTTCTGGGTCTTAAAAAGCCAAGACTGGAAGTCATCCATGTCTTGAAGGAAGGTCTGTAACTTACTGACTTCGCCCAAAGAATCCTCCCTGTCTTTAAGGGTCTTCCTAAGCTTGTCCCAGGCTCTGTCCAGTTCTCCTCGTCGGGACAAGATCTCTGCTGCATTCTCCGGGTGGTCCTGAGCCAGCTGCTCAGCCTCTGTCCCCAGGAAGGTAAGCTTGGTGTTGATGGCAGCCAAATCTCTCTCTATGCCAAACAGCTTCCTCTGGATGGTCATGACAGCCGCCAGGTCATTACCCAGTTCCTGCGTGGACTCGATGACTCGGGTCTTTTCTTTGATCCAGGCTTCTGTCTCGTCACACTCCAGTCCATAGTTGTGCAGACTAACAGCAGAATCGACTTTCTTCTTCTTCTCCTCCACCATAGCCCTGAAGGCCTCCCATCTGAAAATGACAAAACACATGAAGTCACTGCACATGTTCTCTGATGACTCGGGCTAAAACTTCATTTATTTACTTCTTCTGCAATTTCATTATGAACTTCTAATGGAACCATGCGACCAATTATCAGTTTATTTCTTCTTCTATTGGCTGATCCCTTTTCAATGGTCAAAAACAGGAAGTCATCCTCCTCTGTCCCACTCTTTCCTCGGCATCCTCTGTCCTCACTGTCCTCTGCATCCTCTGTCCTCACTGTCCTCTGCATCTTTGCATCTTCTGTCCTCTGCATCCTCTGCATCTTCTGTCTTCACTCTGTCCTCTGCATCTTCTGTCCTCTGCATTATCTGTCCACTGCATCCTCTGTCCTCACTGTCCTTTGCATTCTGTCCTCACTGACCTCTGCATCCTCTGTCCTCACTGACCTCTGCATCTTCTGTCCTCACTCCAATTACCTCCATGTCCTCTCTAACTGCATCCATGCGTCTCCTCTTTGTCTTTTTCCTGCAGCTGCATTTCTAACATCCTTCTATAAATATACCCACTGTCCTCATACATGTCCTGCTGTCCTCATACATGTTCTGCTGTCCTCATACATGTCCTGCTGTCCTCATGCATGTCCTGCTGTCCTCATGCATGTCCTGCTGTCCTCATGCATGTCCTGCTGTCCTCATGCATGTCCTGTACCAGTCTTAACATACCACACCTCCTCCCTCGGCACCCTGTCAGATGTTTTTCTAAATCCACAAAGACACAATGGAGTTCTTTCTGACCCTCTCTGTTCTTCTCCATCATCATCCTCAAATCAAAGATGGATCTGTGGAGCTCTTCCTCAGCATGAAACCATCCTGCTGCTCACAGATAGTCACCTGTCGTCCAAGTCTTGCTTCCACAACTCTCTCCCAGATCTTCATCGTGTGGATCATCAACTTAGTTTCCCTGTAGTTGCTACAACTCTGCTGCACAATTTTCCTCCATTCCTCAGGTACGCTCTCACTCTCAAAAAGTCCATAGAATAATTTAGTCAAAAACCTCACTGCCATCTCTCCAAGACATTTCCAAATCTCCACCGTATGTCATCAGGTCCTACTGCCTTACCTGTCAATCTTCTTCAAAGCTTTCCGAACATCATTCTCACCATCTTTCCCACTTCCTGGTCCACTGTTTCTATGACCTCTACTTTTATTTCTCTTTCATTCTCTTCCTTCATTACATTCTCAAAGTATTCCTTCCATCTTCCCATCACGCTCTCCTCACTTGTTTTTTTAATTACCATTCATATCATTAACGAGCCTAATTGTAAATATTTTCAATACAAATATATATTTTTCCTTATAATATTTTCTCTGTCCAGTTTTTCATCATCTTCCACCATTTGGTCTTCTTCTCTAATTTGACTCTTTTTCTCCTCTTCACAACAACAGTCATTCTACACACAACCATCCGATGCTGTCTGGCCACGCCCTCCCCTGCCACAACCTTACAGTCTCCAATCTCCCTCAGGTTTCCACTTCTACACAGAATGTAGTCGACCTGCGTACTCCTTCCTCCACTCTTATAGGTCACTCTGTGCTCCTCCCTCTTTTGGAAATAGGTGTTGACTACAGCCATTTCCATTCTCTTGGTGAAATCCACCACCATCTGTTCTTCCTGGTTTCTTTCCTTGACACCAAACCTACCCATCACTTCCTCATCCTCTGTTTCCTTCACCAACATGTCCATTCAGGTCTGCTCCCATCACCTCTCTCTCCTCCCTGGGAATACTCTCTATAACTTCATCCAGATCTTTCTCCTCATCATCACATCCAACCTGTGGAGCATAACCACTGACAACATTTAGCATCAGACCTTCTACTTCTACCTTCAGACACATCACCCTATCTGACACTCTTTTCACCTCTACTACATTCTTTGATAACTCCTCCTTCAGGACCACCCCTACTCCATTCCTCTTTCTATCCACACCATGGTAAAACAGTTTGAACCCTGCTCCAATGCTGCGAGTCTAGCTGCCCTTCCACTTGGTCTCTTGGACACATAAAACATCTACCTTCCTTCTCAGCATCATGTCAGCCAGCTCTCTACCTTTGCCTGTCATTGTCCCCACATTTAGAGTTGCAACCCTCAGTCCTACATTCTTCACTTTCCTCTTCTCCCTCTGTCTCCCGACACGTTTCCCTCCTCGTGGTCTTCGACTAACAGTAGCACAATTTCCACCGGCACCCTGTTTGTCAACAGCACCGGTGGGGGGTCGCTGTTAACCCGGGTCTTGACGATCCAGTATGGAGCTGTTTGGATAAACTTGCATATTTGCCATTTTATTTATTTGGTTGATTCAGATCAAACCCAAGCACACTGATTGCATTTCTATATGATCAGATTATTATTATCTTTAATTTTTTTTGTATTTGAAACTATACCCTGTCCATCAGATACACTTTAGCCAGTACAGCTGTGGAGTGAGATGTTTTATATCCTGATGCTAAAGGGAAAAGGGAGATCATGTTCTTACTGAGAATCATTCACAACAGTTTTAACACAAAACAATTGTGCTTAGATATTTTCAAAGTTTTACAAAAAAGGCCACTCTGTGCACTGCTTACCATTTTAGCCTTAGTTTATCATTTATAAAAAGGATTAATTATATTTTACATTTGCTTCAAAAACCAAACAAATGAGCAAAATGAAGAATCTGAAGAGCGGCGGTAATCATAAAAGCACCTGGTGTTCAGTCGCTCCTGACATTCCTTGATGTCTTTGGTGCGGGGGTGTCTGCTGTCCTCGAGCTGTTTCGCAGCTTTGTTCACGTTGTCCACCCTCACCTGAACATTTCCCATATCTTGAGCTAAACTGCTTAACCTGCAAACAAGTGAAGTATTCATGAAGGGTCCAGCAGAATCAGCTCAGTGTAAATGTTAAGATTTTGAAAAGTTTGTTTGCACACACAAGTTTATTTTAGACTCATTTCACATTCCTGTGAGTAACAGTTAATTAAGATGGTGAACAGTAACATCTTGTTTGGCACCTGTTCTGCACCACTTCCAAGTCCTCCAGCTTCTCAGGCACTTCTAACCCCACCAACCACGTCTCCTTCTGGCTCATCCACAGCTCACAAGAATCTGTCTCGCTGAAGATGGTGTACAGAGACATGGCATCCTCCAGCTTCTGCTGTCTCAAGTCACTTAGAGTCAGAAGCTCCATGTAAAGGTCCTTGATGTCTTTCAGACGCCTCTGAATGTCAGGGGTGTTCTGCAGCTCCTCTGGCAGCGCGTTGGCCTGTTTGGAGAGCGCATCGATGGTGGCTCCATTCTTGATCGCTTCATTTTTCAGGTTGTTGTGATTTTTCAGCAGCCGCTGAGTCGTGTATTCATCATGACCTGCATCGCTGCTGCTCATCTGCCTCTTGGCATCCAGCAGCCAGGCCTTCAGGTCATCAGCATCGCCCTGAAACTGGAAGAATGTCTGGGTATCCTGCAGATTCTGCTTTCGAAACGCAGCCAGCTCCTCCAGTTGCTGCCACTGTCGTCTGATGCTGTCCAGGCACTCTTGAATCTTTGGGGATCCAAAGTGATTGGCCTGAATCATCTTCTCCCCCTCTGCCAAGATCTGCTCCAGATTGGCGTGACGGGCTCTGAGTTCATCCTCGAAGGCGCTGTGTTTGCTCTGGAGGACCAGCACACTCGTCAGATCTTTGCCGTAATCCAGGGAGGAGAAAATGTGCTCCTTCTCCCTGATCCAGCTTTCCAGCTCAGTCGCCTCCCACATGAGGTTCCAGAAGCGGCGGGACTGCTCCAGTCGAGCTCGTCGCTGTGCGGCGAGCGAACGTAGCTCACGGTAGCACAGGTCCAAATGCTGCACCCTGTCCCGGATCACCTGAGGGTCACATGGCTTATAGCCTGGAGGAGAAGACAGCACAGATTAATGATGTTCCTCTCTTGTAAGAGTCCTGGAGGCTCAATGACACTAACCTGTAGAAACAAAGGTTGAACGAATGAAAAAGTATCACATAAACTTTGTCATTATATCATTTCAAGCATGCTGAGGTTTTATCAACTCCCAGTAGAGCAGAACACACAGAACATTAAAGGAAGGAATGCATGATTGTCTTTTCACCTACGACAGTGGGAGGTGTTCATTTGTATGTTGTTAGCAAAATATTTCATAAGTCATTGGATAGATTTGTATGAAACTCTGAGAAAATAATCATCCAGTGTTTCCCCTACCATAATCCAAGGAGGGTGCCCCGCCCACTGAAACTGTCCTTCACCCACAACTCCCCCGTGTCAGCTGACGTAACGCTAAGCTAGTGGCGCACAATACAGAGGTGCTAGCTAAAAAGCTAGAGATGTAGCACTCCACTTCTCTCACCCACCAGTAAACAAAAATCAGTGAAGACACGAGCGCCTGTCAAGTCAACTGACCCAGGAAGAACTGATCCTCTCCAGATCATTTAGTTTTTGGGCTCCACCACATTTAAGATGGCTTCCAAAGCTAAAGAACTTCAGCAACAACAGAAATGATAAACTCGTTTCACTGAGCTGAAATGTAACTGGAGTCATCCTCAACACGTTCGATTAGCACCAGCACACATTGCATGAGCGTGCACGTTGTTTTCAGGTTTAAACCTTAACGACTACAAGTCCAGGCTTCTCATCATCAATCTGAAAACTGTGCAGACAACGCCCATGAAACAAATGCTAGACCTTTTCAATTCCACTCTAAAATCATTGTGTCATCGTTACATGTCTGGAGGACTGTTTCTCCTCAGGTGCACAGATTTGAACTGGGACTGGGCGGAGAGCTGGAGAGGACCGATCAGGACTCAGGACTGCCTTAAAGGAAGCTCTCCTGTGCCGTTTCTTTTCTCCTCCATGACAGTTTGGCACACCTGTGGTGTGTCAGGAGCAGTGCTCTTGGTTAAAGGTTTGTGGGGGGAGTTAGAGGTCAAGGTAAGGTTGGGGTACCTGAACATGTCCACACACAGGGGAAGTTCTGTTAGACACCGATGGTGCCACCCTTGTGACAGTGTGGTGAGCTCTTTATTGAGACAATCAGATCAGAGTAGTGTCCACTTCAATGTTTTCCATCTGGGACAGTTGACAATGGTCAGGTGTCAGTGGTCAGTTGTCAGTGGTCAGTTGTCAGTGGTCAATTGTCAGTGGTCAATTGTCAGTGGTCAATTGTCAGTGGTCAGTTGTCAGTGGTCAGTTGTCAGTGGTCAATTGTCAGTGGTCAGTTGTCAGTGGTCAATTGTCAGTGGTCAATTGTCAGTGGTCAATTGTCAGTGGTCAATTGTCAGTGGTCAGTTGTC